TCCAGGAACGATGGTTAGGCAACTACCCGCCTATATGACTGAAATACTGTTGGGAAAAGGAGTAAAAAGAAAAGAAAAAAAGTATCTTACATCTGTAAAAATATGATGGCTTTACGAAAACAAATTTAGAATACTTCAATCATTATCCAGTACGACCATGGCCTCTGTGAACGTTCACGGTTTATACAATAGGGTACCTTTATCAGATACCAAAGTTTATATTATTCTCTATAAAAGGTTCTTTGACAAAGTAATAAAATATATTTTAGCTGATAGAGAGACCATTGCTTTTTGTTAAATATGTAACCATTTAGAAACAGTTCGTCCCAAATACTTCATCCTAAACACTTCATCCTCAAGACATTTCACCCATCTTTTATGAAATCTGATCGAGACACTTTACTGCCTATTTGGGTTTTGTGTTTCACACAAAATGAAGGTGGAAAATGAAGGATGAAATCAATGGAGTTAAAAATATCATTCGTTATAACGGTAATATAACGGTTCACCCCACTAGCTGACAATTCGTTATAATAAACGAATAAACGAAGTAAAGTTTGGGGATTCGAACAAGACTAGTTCAAATTTTAGAGAAATTTCAGTTGTATTCTTGTAAGTTTATTTTGGATTTAAAAGATTCTACGCCTAATTGTATGGTTTATGGTGATTTAGGCATAATGTCATTTGTCTTGCAAGTGAAAGCACGACTTTTGTGTTTCTGGAGTTAAATTATTCATGGTAAAGAAATTAAGATATGTAAACTTCTATATAAAACAATGTTGTCTTTGTCCTCTATGTATATTGTTAATTCTAAATGGACAAAATTTGTGAAAGAAATGCTTACTTATCTTGGTATGTCAGAATATTTTCATCTACAGAATCAGAAAGTAGATAATATTTGTCACTTTAAAAGTATTGTGATGCTTAGACTACATGATCATTTTTTACAAGATTGGCACAGTACTTACTATTGATACATCTTCTAAGTGCTTAATTAGTGTATCGTTCATATAAAAATACAAGTTCATTGTTTTGAAAAATATCTAGATGTACTTCCATTTCACATAGGCAAATATTTATGTAAATTTAGAACAATAAATCACCTATTATCATTTGAAAAAGACAGACAATTGGCAATTGATAATTATAATAATATTGATAGGCTCTGTTCCTTATGTCCGTATCAAGCTAATATTGATGAATTTTTTAATGACATTAGACGTAAATCTCTTCTTCCCGGTTTTTACATTCATCCCAATATTTTAAACCTGACAAATTACTGAATAGGTGTGATAAAAAATCTTCTAAAACTATCTTTATTTTGTAAAAAAAACAACATTATGTTGAAATTTAGATAATTAATACTTTCCATTCTCCATTCCCATTTTTTACAATGTAAAATACATGTTAGTATTGCATTCAGTAGTTGAAATGAACAGTGTGATTTCCTTTTTTGTTTATTTAGCTAGTCATAATTATTTTCTTATATTGTGATTTTAGGTTGATTTTTGTGTTCGTTGCAGTGTTTATATAACCATGCAGTTGCATATTATATGCCTTGGTTAAAAAAAATGAAACGGAGTGTGAGGCCAACTTATTTAATTATCTCAAAAATATTGAAAAATTGACCTTTATAACTTTTCAAATGACAATCCCCCAATTTAGGTTAATATCGTTCATCTATATTATTTGACTTATCATTTTTACATCTTTGGGTTCATTTTCACAGAATACTCTTCAAGAAATTAATTCATACGAGATCAGTAGTCAATATCGACAAAAAAACTCCGTTTAATCGTAAGTGCGTCAAAAAACATTCCATATGATAGTAATAAATAAATTGCCTTACAATACTTCATTTGCTTTTTGGATGATAAGAAAGAATAAACAAATGCCAGGGTTCGTTACAAGGGATCCAATGACAGTGCATGAGGAATCCCTGAGATTTAATTCAGGGATTCCTCCAAAATGTCAGGGATTCCTCCTAAATGTCAGGGATTCCTCAGATCGAAATAGTAAAATATAAAGGCGAAGAATAACAAGGGAGTGAACAAATTCTTTTTTAAGACCACGTGGACACATGATATATTGCCTTGTTTCAGATGCAGAAAATGTAGTTTATATAAGCCCTCAGGAAATGTAATATTTGCTGTTTAAAGTGTTTCAAAGTGTTTACTAGATTATACATAATTAGACAAAAACCTGTTTTCTCGCTAGAGTTGATAATTATGAACCAGTTTCTGTGAATGAAGGTATAATGCAAGTGACTGGGCAATGGGACTTAGGGTTGGAACTTTTGAAGTTAAATAGGAACTGGGGAAACATTGAATGACAGACTATTCTCTCCCTTACCAGTTCCTCTCCCTGACGGTTCTCTCCCTAACCGTTTCCTCCCCTGACGGTTCTCTCCCAAATTTGAAATATGCAGACAGTTCTCCCCCAATTTTATTTTTATAAGTTATCATTTTAGTTTTGACTTAATCTAATAATATTTCTTAATGAAGATTATTAAAAGAATGTGTTTGATAGTAAATGCATTTTATGTTTTATGTTTATCAGCTGAAAAGTGTTTGTAAATTTAACACCTTTTTTCAGTATTTTAATCCTATCAACACCTTTATTGTGAGAGATATAGATCAATGGACAGTGATTGATATACACCTGTAATTATGTTAAGGTCTAGCTTGTGATGTTCATTTATTTGTTAAATAGTGAATAAGGTGGAAACAAATATGTTCTAGAAAATAAATATAAACAACTGGTATGCAAACAGTCACATTCCACATTTACTTTTTTACGAAATTGATTTAAAACATGTAGTCATTAACTTGAAACAATATATAATACAAAATAACTAATATAATACTTATTCATCAACACCTTTTCACAGCTATTTTAATCTAATCAACACCAAGGAATTACTATTTAAAACACTTCAATTATCACTGGCAGCAAACTTAATGCATACATGTGTGTATTGAACTTTTTTCATTATACAAAAGTTTAAAGCAATTAGAATTTATTAATCATTTTTTGCCTATAAATTTCATTTTTATTTATAATAATAATAATAATATCTTATGATTATCCTAATCAAGTAAATTATTCATTAATTATTTTCAATGACTAAACACATTAAAAAGTATACATTACATCTAATTAAAAAATCAGAATAATTAACTAAAATAATCATTGATCTATTATTATTATATGTTAAAAAAAAGTTTTTCTAATTCAATTTATATCAATTGATAATAAAGTTACAAATTTATTAAACATCTAAATACTTCAATTAAATATTTTTTTCTCTAATTTATATTAATATTTGATAATAAACTTACTGATTTATTGTTGCTGATGATGCTAACAAAATTGAAACTTGAATTAAACATTAGAATACTTCATTAAAGTATTTTTCTCTCTAATTTATTACAATTTATAATAAACCTACCGTACCCATTTATTTAACATCTAAACACTTCAATAAAATCTTTTTTTTCTAATTTATATCAATTCATGATAAACTTATCCATTTATTTATCATCTAAATACTTTAATAATAATGTAATTATAAAAATAAAAATGGGGAGGAACTGTCTTCTAATTTGCAAATATGCAAACAGTTCTCCCCCAAAATAGGGAGAGAACCGTCAGGGAGGAAACGTCAGGGGAGGAACTGGTAAGGGAGAGAATAGTCTGACTACCGGAAACATTTTGAAACAAGACACTTACTGGTCGGGGACCATCAACCGGACACTTTTGGAACATTTTTCTGTAGAGATTTCATAATTTTTAACCTAGAGTCCAAAAAATTTGACACAGTTCAGCTAGGTTCTTCTCCTAACTAAAAAACTAGTTTGTTTATTTCTGATTGTATTGACACTTATATCTGAGGCTCGACAAGGAGGGTATCAAAATTACCTAAATTGTCTACACTGCAGTACCATGTGTCCAGACAGATATGTACATGATGTGATTTAATTCAGATAAAAGCCTGGGTGTTTTGATTTTTGATTTGTAACATGATATACAATATGTCAGCAACAAATGCTGAAGTTTTTGATATTCTATTATTCACTCTGCAAATGATTATAGCTGGTATATGAGGTCAGGCATTGCTTTCTTGACCCCCGAATTTCAACGTTAACATTCTTGAAATAGACATTAAAATATTACCATTTATGGAGGTTGAAAAAAACTCATTTACTTAATTTTAAAAGAAACATGCACTTATTGTTGATAAAATAGTGACTGACAACCACTAAACAAAGAAAATACTAAATTAAGCATTTTTGGGGCCGTCCGGGTTTGGTGGTTGTCCGGTTTTGGTGGTCCCTAACCAGTACGAACTTTCAACAATAAATGCATGTTTCTTCTAAAATGAAGTAAATAATTTTATTTCAACCTCCTTAAAAGGTAATATTTTAATGTCTATTTCAAAAATGTTGACATTGAATGTTGGGGGTCAAGAAAGAATGTCTGACCTCATATACCAGCTATAATCATTTGCAGAGTAAACTATAGAATATCCAAAACTTCAGCATTTGTTGCTGAAATATTGTTTATCATGTTGAAAATCACAAATCAAAACACCCAAGCTTTTATCTGAATTTAATCATGTCATGTACATACCTGTCCGGACACATGGTACTGAAGTGTAGACAATTTAGGTAATTTTGATACCCTCCTTGTGAGCCTCAGATATAAGTGTCAATGCAATCAGAAATAAACAAACTAGTTTGTTAGTTAGGAGAAGAACCTAGCTGAACTGTGTCAAATTTTTAGGTCTCTATGTTAAAAATAATGAAATCTCTACAAAAAAATGTTCAAAAAGTGTCCGATTGATGGTCCCTGACCAATATACTGGGATCCTACATGTTTACCGGACAATCTGAGTTTACCAGACAAAAGCCATTCATGTTAAATAAGGCTTTATGTTTTTCCTCGATTCAAAAATCATCCGGTCTGAATCGTACACACACTTTCTATTTCAAAGTAAATAACAACAAAACCACTCTCAGGCAAATATTGTTGATTCAGTTCTTTTTTTACTAACATACCCTTTTGTTTACTCGTTATTCCATGACCTGGTCATGCGGGGGAATAATCTGTGCTGCGCATTCCCGAATATTGAGGCCCTTAATGGGTTATTTTAGATAGGTTTTACTTTTAATTCTTCTCAACGTTACCTCAGGGGACAATCGTAACATACTTTAATGATAAAATGTTATTTTCAGATTCGTTCAAACGATATCTCGTTGTTGTCATTTACAAAGAAATGCAAATTAAATTAAAATACATAAATAATATTATAAGGAAACGGGTAAAGCCCATGGGAGGGAACTCTACATGAAATGTACAAGAAAAAGACTTTATGGCTTTTGCAACATGCTACATGATGACCAAAGGGAAACTGTATGACAAAAAACAGAATTCCATTTGAATATCAAAATGTTTCATAAGTTTAAGGATCATGAAGAATGATTACATTAATTGAGTTAATAGTGTTAATTTCAATTACACCCCTATATTGGCCTCTTCGTAACAAGCATGGCTGCCGTTTTTATTTTAGTGACATACTGGTTTTTTCCAGTATCTTAACATTGACATTCAATAGTCGTAGTTTCCTTGCTAAATTTCAATTTAAGACTTCAAAAAAAATTGAAACACAATGTTCCATACATGTCCGGTAAATTGAGTTGTCTACACGATTTTTTTCCTCTTTTAATGCCCTAATTTAAAGACACATTTCTACTGTCAAATGTTTGATTTTATGTTTGATAAAGGAATGTTTACTTATATTAAGAACCCACATATATTTAAGTAAAATTTCATTCCTTTTTATTATTTTGAATAAAAGTTACAGCGAAAAAACATCATATTTTGTCCGGTAATATGTAGGATCCCAGTAGAGCAGAAGTCAGTGCGCGAGCATGCGCTTTGCCATATCTCCTTCAGTTACAGCTCACGTTTTATGAAGCGACACTAAGTGTACATGGCTTTTACAACTAAAATATCAGACAAGCACATTACAACAATACACATAAACTACACATAGTTGTTTTCCATATTAATATTTTGCATTTGAAACTGATAGTCAAACAAATATCTCAATTTTCTTACCGATTTAATGTATTGTTTACATGTGATGACAGCAACGCTGTGTGTTAGATAACTTTCGGTTCAGAAAATTCATTTGTTTACCATCAAAACTCATATGTTTACCACAGGAACCATATATAGATAGAAAGTAAATTATTCAAAGGTAAAGAAAAAATTGTCCGTTTCTGAAAAATAAATCAAATAAATAAATACAAAGTCTTTTTAAAAGGTCCCTTCTTTGAGTTCATTTAAATGGGGAATAATTTGGTGGAATTTTAGACAGGGAAACAGGGAGTTATCATTCATGGCTAGGGAATATGGCCGACTGAAATCATGCAAGCAAGTTTGTAAGTGCAAGACAACTCGCCCCCCAGATAATTCACCCCCCAAAAAACCAAGACAACTCACCCCTCAAGACAGTTCACCCCCCAAAAAAGATAAGACAATTCACCCCTTGTGTTTTGTTGTTTAAAAAAACTCAAAAAGTCAGTATATTTATTTACTTATTTATAATTAATTTATTATGTCAGATTTATTCACAAAATATAACTATATTACAGCACATATACATGATGCATACAAGAAAAAAAAAATCTCTATAAAAGGTGTTGAAAAGAAGAAGAAAATAAGCAAGTCAAGATTCAAAATTTGATTTATATTTATATGTTATTTTATATAATTTTATGCAATTAAATCAAATAGCACATAGTTTATATTAATGGTTGGAAATGCCCATAATGTATACACTTTTCATAAACATATTACCTATCATTTATTTAATAGTCTTGATATTTTTATTGTATATATGTAATGCAAACATGTACAACTGTCTACAGGAATAATTTAATTATATTATCTTAAAGTGCTGAAAAACAAATTGTTTAATTTCTACATCCACTCTTGCATCAGAAGCACATAACACCTTGTTGTATAATCAATTAAGGATGAAAAAAGTGTTAAAGGGATTAAAGACAGGGATAAAGGACTATTAAAAGTATACAAACATCCACTCCAAATGTCATATTGACATTGAGCATGTCTTGAATAGCTTCTCAAAAAATCTATTTGTAGATGATATGTAATAAGCATCCAATTGATGAGTTGTTTGAATATTGAATGGGTTACTTTAATTATCAATTCTACCAGGTACGTATATTGATAGACGTAATTTACATAATTAAGCTTTTCAATTTCACTTGTAAAATTATTATTAGAAATTCATCAGAACTTCAAAGATTTAAGATAATTATCATATCTATCCATCTATCTAGATAACACTCACTTAACACCTAATTAGAGCAAATGATTATCACATGTTAATATCTTTGATATGCCATCTTATAATAACACCAATAGCACTTAAAATCAAAGCACAGAAGGCGCTGAATTTGTTTGGGTCTCAGAATGTAAGAAAGGTGCAGGTTGTGAGATTATATGTATAGTGCCACCAATGCTTTCCAATTTTTTTAATGATTTTTAATTGTAGTAAATTGGCTATAAGACTAATTGCAACACTGATATTCAATCCAATGTTTATTTGACTTTAACAATTTGAAAAAAAATGAGTTACCTTTACTGGGATTTGAACTCCAGACCTCTCGCTTTCTAAGCGAGCCCGAAAACCCTTCAGCCACGGTGAATTTATATGTGAACGGGCTGAAGAAAACCATATTATTCTAAATTAGGGCTTGTAACGACTTTAACTGTTGTTTAACACAGATATAAATAATCCTGGAGCTTACTATAAGCATTTATATTTATAAAGAATCAAAGGGCTGCAAGTTCTGTGGTATTTTCTGATCTTTGCAATCTAAATCGTACTGTATATCTGTATGCATTTTCCTGTATAGGTTTATTTTATGTATTATAATTCATTTTGCAAGGCACCAGAGTTTGATACATACGGAATTCTGCATAACTAGAGTTGCATCAAAAAAACATTTATGTTCATTTTTTACGACAGCCACACTTTATCCTTGCATATCATGGCTACTTCCTTAATAAAAACACTTAAAAAAGAATTTAACAAAAAAAAAAAGTTTCCTCGACTGGGATTCGAACTCGAGACCTCTCACTCACTAAGCCAGCGCGTTACCACTTTACCACGGAGAAGTTATACACAGAAAGTTTGAATAATATCAAGTTATTCTAAATTTAGAACTTCCATTGCATTTCAGGTTTGTAATCCTTATTAATTTCGAGGTATTTTGTTCAGGGTAAACCTGTTGTTTAAAATTGAAGTAAATATTTTAGCGAAAATCCTCTCGCCCAAACAGTCCGACATGTAGAATCTATATATTCCACTACTCGGTTTGTGTAGTATTCGGTAATAAATAGTATTTTCATTGATAACATCATATTCATCCGCGTAATTTGTGATTGTGCATTTATTGACAATTCTATAAGCCAACGCTATTGTTTAACTTTAAATGCGTTGTAATTTGTTGGATACTTGTAACAAAATAAAATATTTCTTTCTTTTAAATCGCTAGTTTTAAGCTGTTTTGAGAACTACTTGTTGTTAGGTTTGTTGTAAACTTCTGTGTCAGAGATTGAATGTCCGCTTTGTATTTAGTTATTTTCGATCAGAAAATACAATAAAACAATATTAGAAATCTTCGACCATTCGGGAATTACTTTGCTTGAAAATTGATGCGCCTGTCTTTGACCATCTTTACGCAGTGATCTCCCCTGAATTTTTCGGCTTTAGTGTACATACAAAAGGGAAGTAACCGCTTCAAAAAAGTGGACTACTTTCGGCATTTGCAATTAACAACATTAGACTCTGAAATTTCGCTACCATTATTTGTTTGGTCTGACGACCCAAACAAATAAAAATTATTTAAGACAGATTTATGGTGAATTTGTAATTTTTACTGCTTGTATGATTATAAAATAATATGTAAAAATATCAAGGTATAGTAACAAATATTATCTTTAAGTAATAAAGTATAATAATTACTTTAAATATGACTAAATATTTTATAAATATCAATTAAGTAATGAAACACAACAAATTTGTTTATTGCATAGATCTTCTAATTTTAAGATGAATTTCATCAAAATTAGATTTAAGGAAATGGGGGGTAAATTGTCATTTTTCCAATAATGCGGAGTGAACTGTCTGGTGGGTGAATTGTCTGGAGAAATGGCTGAGGATGAATTGTCTGGGGGATGAGCTGTCTGTAAGCCAAACATATTCCCAGATAGCTAGCGGTTTCACTAATAGAGCCCATATATCTAGTGTGAGATCTAATAATTTAGGCCTCCATTATTCCAGGTTAAGTTCTGGATATGATAACTTTTGTCGATAATTTGTGTATTAACTTTCATGTCATTTAAAAAGAAATGCTTGATTATGATCACTTTAAAAAAATAAGTGATTTCAGTTTACTGTACACTTTTTGCATTTAAAAGGAAATATCCCATAGATTGTTGTATATTAAATATTTTGTTAATTTTTTACTAAAGTTAAAATATCAAGAAATTTTTACCTTGTAGGTAAAAGCAGTTTTTGATCAATAAATAAAGAGTGCTTAGGCCAAGGAAATGGTCTTGGCAAGGAGATGGCCAATATTGATTTTTGGTTCAAGGAGTCAAAGTCAAGGTTGAACTGACCTTGTAGGCAAAAAATGGATTCAGATCAATAACTTAAGAATGCCAAGGTCTATGAATTTCAAACTTCATGTGGAAGTAGATGACCCTTATTGATTTTTTGGTCAAAGGGGTCAGAGGTCAAGGTCATATAAGCATTGTTGATAAAAGCCGCTTCAGATCTATATATTGACAACCAATGGGCCCTTGGCCCTCAAACTGCATAGGTGCATTGGTCTTGGCCAGTAAATGACCCCTATTGATTTAGGGTCAAGGGGTTAAAGGTCAATGTCAGTCACATTGACTATGTAGGTTATAAGGGTTTCTGATCAATGACTTGACAACCCATGGGCTCTTGCCCATAAACTGCATAAGTGCATTAGTCTTGACCAGTAGATTACCCCTATTGACTTTTGGGTCAAAGGTCAAGGTCACATTGACTTTGTAGTTAAAAACTGTTTCTGATCCTTAACTTGACAACCCATGGGCTTTTGGCCCTCAAACTGCATAGGTGAATTTGTCCTAGCCAGTAGATAAATAAGATAACCGTACTGATTTAAAGGTCCAAGTCACATTGACCATGTAAGTTTAAACAATTTGTGACCAATAACTCAACACCTCAAGTTGCATTGGTTGATGTTTTTTTATTTAACTAAAAATTCACATTTCGAGGTCTAAAATAATATTACAAATTGGATTTAATTAAGGAGGCCTATATGATTCATAAAATTTATGCATATATTATTTGGTAAGGTTTGTGATAACTTTGTCATTAAATTGCTACACACAACCTTTATGGTCACAATGACCTAGTCATGACCAGTTGATAACCCTTATTGATGTTTTGGTCACTAGGAATAGGTCAAAAGTCAATCACAATAACTTGGCCACATGACTAATTGGTTGCCGATAGGGGGCATACATGTTTATCAAACAAATTCTTGTTATTGGTGAGTTATGAAGTTATCAAGGTAGACTGTTGTTTTTAAAGATACATTGTGTAATTTCTTAAAAACAGCATACCCTTTGGCTTGAACATCAGTTTGAAATTTTTTTGAATGAAATTCAGTAGGAATTATCCTTCATGTTCCTTAACATACTTTCTTTAATCATTTTAGATTGCTGAACAATATGGCTACCTGCAATGATAAATATAGATATGAGAATGAGACAATATCTCCTCAGCTGCTTGGTCAATTTCAATAGGATAAAACACATAGTGAAAACCATACCGTCAGGTGAGTGAATATTGCCCGTCATGGCACTCTTTGTTCTATTTCTCTATGTTTTTTTTGCTATTTGTATTTATGCTATATATGAATGTATTTTTGTGCTTCTTGACGGGTGAGCAACTGAGCATATAGTTGCAGTTTTGGGTTAATGGGTTATATAACAATAAAGAGAACAAAAGAGAACAATAAGTTCTTTCCCTGATCAAAAGGTGTATGGGCTAGTAGCCTTTAAGAAAAAAAAAGATAACAGCTCCTAAACCTTAAAGGCTTCTATCAATTTTTGGATCCTGTTTGTGATGACACTAATTTTAAGAAATAAAATCTTCTTTTTGGATATTTTAGCTTGTTTTTGAAGACAAAGTTGAGCAATATGCTGACTTGCTTTTGATCTTGTCATGCATGAACTTAAATGTACTACCTTGTAGCCCATTATTACATTTTTAAAGTCATCAACATGAAACTTGAAATACTTGCTTATCATGACAAGGTCCATTTGTTAGACAAGGGGTATAATATGAAAGCAATATTATTAGACTTAAAGCTGCATGCCTCCAGATGAGCTAAAATATTTCAATATAATCAAACTTGAGAAGAATGTACTAAGATTTTGGGAAAAGTAAAAATATTCAAGATTCAAGTGATAATTTACATGTTATGTACGATTAATGACCGATTTTTCAATATTTATAACTATATTTCTACTGTGTTACTAACACAGTAAGGCTATTTTTGCATATTTTGTCCTCTTTTTCAAAATTTACGTGGGTTTTAAGTGCCACTGTTAATGTGTAAATTGCTTCCTTTTGGTTATTTCATTAAATAAAGCGTTTAAACACATTTTCAAAATTTTCATGAAAATTAGCATGAATCTGGAGGCGTGCTGCTTTAAGCCCCCTTTTTAACTAAAAATGTTTGTTAAAATTGGTAATTGATAGTTGTGGCATTAATAGATGAGCTAATACACTGCATTTCTTGCTCTTATTTACATCTTGTTTTATTTGAAAGTATATATGTAGGTAATGATATTGAAGTTATTTTCCTCTTTTGCAGACAAATTTGCTGCTGGTTGGCGTGTTGTCCATCAACTGATAAAAGATCATATTGAAGAAGTCACAAATTGCCTCTCATGAAAGTGGGATATTTGGACACTGTTACATGCAATTGTACTCTGTGAAGCAATGAAGAATTTATGACTGGATAACTTAATGAATGTATCATATCTCTATCTCTTGGTTAGGGTATCATACTTTGTGGATATTGTATCATTCAGTTTTATCATATAACAATCAGGCTTTTCATAAAACTGTAAAGCATGATTATATAGGAATGTGTGTGAGATGAAAATGATTCAGTATAGAAAGGAAAAAGTTGATATATTTATTAAAACCACTTGTTTGTGACACGGACAGTTACACATTTAAGTTAGAGATTTCTACTGTTTACTGATCTGAAAATCAGAATGGATCATCATATGATTAATATCCGTCCATCTCAACCACAACCATTTACTATCTTCACTCACAAGATAAGTAACAAAGTTCATCATTCAACCCATAGATACATACCATCGCTATATTGAATATTAAGCTAATGAGACTTGTTGGTTTTTTTTTCAAAAAAACCCAACACACATCCATTGAGGACAAAGCCAGTGATGCCAAGCGCGAGGTGAACAGGGCACAGCAGCTACACCTTTGTCAACAGTGTTTTCACAAGTTCCTATTATGGTGGTTAACCCAATGCAACGTGAAAAGACAAGTGATGCTCCTGCAGTTTTATCATCTCAGACAGAACAAGCTACAGTTTCTGCATCAACTAGTACTGTGAGCAGCAATGATCCAGTCAGCATTCCAGCACAAGTATTTCCACAGAATTCTGGTGCTGTTCTGGGAAATTTTTCATCCGCAGACATAACTTCTGGAACATTCTTGTCAAACCCTTTTGTTCAGTCAGGCCAGTTTCAAAATAATGTAATACTAGCTCCTGTAGTACATAATGGTGTCTTACAAGGCAGTGTGTTTGTAGGAAATTTTACCCAGAATTCCAGTGTTCCTGGAAGCATACCACATATTGTTCCTCAACAGCTAAGTCTTCCAAGTGTGGCAAATATTTCAAAAGGACCAAAAGTGACGAAAAAGTTTCCAGTTATGACAAACATTTCCAGAAGTCGAATTCTACTTCCAAAAGAAGATATATTTAAAGAAGACTATATGCAAACAAATGCAATTAAGAAAAATGGCATATGTAAGAAGAAAAATCCCCCAACATCAAAGTCTGCTACAAATATAAAAGAAGGATCCCCTTTACAAACTACAACAATAAAAACAGAACACTCTACCCAACCTTTCAAATTTGTGATTGAGCCTGATCCATTGTTTGATGAAAAACTTAAAGGTGCAGAATTAAAGAAACTTCCTGTTTTAACAGATGAAACTGTTCCAAAGTCTTACCATGTTTCAATGGTGACGAACCTTTCAACAAGTGGCAAAGCAGCATCTATAAGCCACAGTTCGTTTGTTACTACTTCACCATCTTTTAGTAATGCTCCATCTACTAGCCAACTTTCATTATGTAGCCAAGGTCAGCATACAAGCCTGAAACAAGGTGATAATAATCCTCAAAGGGTTGAAGAGATTTCTGATGATCTATCAAACAGCACATTTCTTCCAGTTATCGAGAACTGCTATAGCATGAGAAAACTGAGTTTGAGACAGATGATGGAGTTGTTGGAAAAAGGGCAAAATATAATGTCTTATTTTCAACCTGGTACCAAAGATTACCATCGTGCACTAAAGCTTTGTGAAGCAGTTGTGAAATATAGTATAACAAGTATGAGTTCAGAAATACCAATAGAGTTTTACAAAAGTCTTATTTGCAAACATATTTCATTAATGGATGCAGTGGTTTTGAAATTATCAATAAAACACAGTAGTTCTTCAAAATCTGTTCATCAAAGAGAACCATGGGACAAAAATAAAGATGCAGAGATAGATCTGCCGAAGACTATGTGGAATAAACTTAAATTTCCAATAACCAACTGTCGTGTAACAAATACAATTAAAAAAGCAGTTAAAGATTTTCAACTGCAGAAGACAGAGCCTACAAAACCTATAGAAAAAGAGACTGTATTTGTAATGAATGTGTCTAAAAAACTTAAGCAAAAAGGAAATGAATCGAAAAACCAGTTTTCTGGACATGAACAAATAGAAGCAGAATTGACAAAGGAAGAGACCTCGGAACATAAACAAACAGAAGCTGAGTTAATGAGAAACAAGTTGTCAGGGTATAAACCAGAACCTGAATTGATTATTATCAACTCATCAGAATTATTTCAAGAAGAAGCAGATTTGAAAGGAATTCAGTCATTACAATCCAAAGAAAAACAAACTGAATTGATAAGTACAGAGTCTTCAGATGATATAGAAAAAGAAGCCGAGATGATTAGGAAGGCATTTACATTACCAATCAAAATAAATGCATCTGACAGTGCCTGCTCATCCCAGAAAACAGATGCAAGCACAACTGGAAAGTCAGTTTTTGAAGTACTATCATCAAATGATGATGTTATTGAAATACTTGATGATTCTGATGTCAAGAATGGTAACAGTTTAGATATCAGTATTCCTAGTAGCTTTAACCTCCGCAGATGGAAATGGATTTTGCTGGCTGGTATTGAAAAGTATCGAGATGACCAGTCATGTCATTGCTACTTATGTGGGTTAACATTTTCTAGTATACCAAATGTATGGCAGCATGTTTTGAAGGAACATGTCAAGAGTACTGCAGCGATTGAAGCATTACCTGGTTTTCCCTGTACACACTGTGATGGTATATATAGGACATTTCAGAGTGTTCTAAAACATGAGATCACTCTTCATCTAAGTGATTATCCTTGCTTCTTCTGTGGGAAGAAAACTGAAGACAGATGGGATATGCTGAATCATGTTGCAACTTTGCACAGTGCCCTGTACAACTGTGAGACTTGTGGAGGCCAATTTTTTGGGATAGAAATAGAAGAACATCGCAAGTTGCTGAAACACAATAAATATGGGAGACTGAAACAAATAAATATTTGCCTTTTTTGCAACGAAACATTCAGACAAAAGTATGAGCTTATTAATCATTTAAATAGCTTACATATAGATAGACTAGAAGAAATTTCTTGTGGCATTTTATGCTCTTCCTGTAGACATCCATTCTTGGATGAGAATGCTTTGTCTTACCATAAATGCGCTCAATCAGCATCATATAGTGTCAAAAGATTGGTGAGTAAAACTAGTTTGAAAAAATTAGCTCTTGAATTTTTGATCAATAGTGAGGCTTCAAATGCTAATGAACGTAATAAGAAACTTGATGGCTGTAAGAGAACATCTACTGTCTGTGAAGTTAGATTGTGTATGAGTTTATTGGTATGTGACAGTGGCAAAGAAAGTAGGGAAGTGGTTATCAATAATAAGCAGTACAGGTATCCTCTTCAGGATCTATATGAATATTGTGGGTTTGGAAAAAGCTTTCCAAAGGAATTTAAAGTATGGTCAATGGATGAGTTGGTAAAGCTAATGATCATGGATTTTCCGGATATCAAGGTGGATTGGAGTACAAAAGACCTGCATGATTTGCTTCTTGCTTTAAGTCGATCTCGTAAATTTGTCAAAATGTTGCAGAACCAAAAACTAAAAGCTTTGCCGTGGAATGGAAGGATTGAAGCTTGTGTTAAGATATTTATAGACAAAGTTAAACATTCATTTTACAAGCTAAAAGGCATTTCTGCCATGTCAACACTATTGATCTCCCTACAAAAAAGTCTAGATCATTTTAAGAGAAAACGTGCCAGAGTGGTAAGCAAACTATGTGATTTGGATTTAAAAGAAGTCACACAACAAACTTATGAGAGCAAACCAGATGCCATGGGAAGTCCTGCCACAAATGAGAAAAATGGGAAAACAGTACAAACTGAAACAAGTACCACATCAAAATCATGCCACAAGAATAAGCCAGATGCTATTGGTGAAAAAGAAAGCATTAGTTCAGAACATTTGGTAGGCAAGAACTTAAATCTTGATCAGTGGGAATCTTCGTGCCAATTAGATAGATCCAAAAAAGTTACACTTGAACTTGCAAAAATGCTAAAGGGAAATACAAGTAAAAAAATTGTGAAGGGCCATAAGCAGGAATCATCTAAAACTGTTAAAGAATTGATTGGAGAGCTGAAAGGATTGGAAGAAGCTAACATAATTTTACATGAGGCTGATCAAAACGATGTAGCCCTGGAAAATGGCAAGACAAAAGAAAATAATCAGAATGAGTATAGGAGATCATTAAGAAAGAGAAAATCTCAAGTGAAGTACACGTTTACTGATATTTTGGATGAATCAGGGGATGAAACTCTAGCAATCGTTTATATGATGACTGGGTCTCTATGCAGAGTCTCTCTCTCAGGTTGATGACAATCGTGATGAAGTGATGGGATTTAATATGGTAAGCACAGGTATCTCTCTCAAAGCGGAGGAGAGCCTAGTATGAAAATTTCAATCTTGATTTATCTAACTGATTAGTAAATCTGTGAAAGGCATTGGTAGTCATTCTGATGAAGGTACTGGTGATCATTCTGGTGAAAGAATTGGAAGCCTTTCAGTGAAAGATGTTGATAAATCCTCTAACATATTCTTGTAAAGTACTTTTTCATTATGAAGAAGGTGCTTATTCAATATTCTTGTATATGTCTCTGGACTCTAGTACGTAAGTGGAACAAAAGACACCACGTAATTTGAATCCACTGGAATGCGCCAGTTGCGAAGTAGACATAATCTTGATATTAACTTTGCCAATTCTTCTGGACAGTCATTTACTTCTAAAAAATGTGAAATCAGCAACTTACATTGCCAAACAAAAAAGTCCTCGGTAAAGGAGATAACTAGACAAGAAACTACTCAGGATTCTATTCCATTGAAAGTGGTCAAAGTAGTGAATTCTCCAGACAGTTTACCATGCTGTTTAAAGAATATTTCTAGACCAAATAAATCTATCAAGTGCTCCTTTGTAAGAATAGAGAAAATAAAGCAATCAAAATGTCTCAGTTTAGAGAGATCTGAAGTAAGTCACAATTTCAAACAGGAAATGGTGTGAAAAAAAGACTGTTCCATAGAGAAGTGTTAGAGGAGGACCTTGAGAAAACATTTCCTATAGGTAAACTCAAGACATATCGTCATGAAACAGTGTAAGATAAGAAGGAAATTACAGTATCATTTGATAAAATGAAGTGGACTGCTGAAAAGACAAGAGGTGCAAAATGATAAGGGATACAGATTCTTTAAAGTTTGGTGTGGGCAATTTGATATTCTTAGGTAAATTCAGAAGTTAATATGAAATACTCAGAGGCTTCCCACATGTATGGGAAGGTAATCAGGATGAAGTACAGTAGGGGCAATGTGACATGTGAGGACTCTACAGAGGCTTTTGATCCTAGAAGCAATGTATAAAAACCCAGAGAGTTTAAACATGGAAGTCTTATC